GATTTGGTTTGAGTTATTATTGTCATATGTACTGAGATACTGTGAAAAGGTTTGTTTTGCATGCTAACCAGAGAAGTCATACCTTATGTAAGTATGTTAGGATAACAAAACAGAATGTGGAATATAGTGTTACAGCTACAGAGAAGGTGCAGAGAAGGATCAACTCTAACATATGAGAGGTCCATTCAAAAGTTTGATAACAGCAGGGAAGAACTTGTTCTTAAATCTGTTTGTATGTATTTTCAAACTTTTGTGTCTTCTGCCCGATGGAAGAGGGTGGAAGGGAGTATTACCAGATGGGAGGGGTTTTTGATTATGTTGGCTGCTTTTCTGAGGGAAGTGTAGATAGACCCAATGGAAAGAAGGCAGGTTTTCATCCTAGACTTTCTTGGGGAGAGCAGTTGCCAACCAAACTGTTTTGCATCTGAGTATTATCTAACCTCCCCTTATTTTTATGCAGCTCCCTATTTCTCCTCCTTTCCCAAGAAACTAGACAGAACCATTTCACAACATGAAAGTCAGACTGTTACAGCTTACCACTTGTTTCTTGAACCTTCATACAGCGCCTCCATCACTACCATTTCCCATCAAGCTCCAGGGACAGCATCCTGTTCCACCTTTCCTCATATAAGTGTGCAACAACAAGCCACAAACCTTAACACATCATGGCTGCTTTCAAGCCAATTTAAACACTAGTTCAGCTCTTCAGGATTTCACTTTGGAGCTCACAAACACTCACGCTTTGCATAGTTCTGACAAGTACACATATGACACAGACACATCTCATGCATCTATATAGGATTCACCTTATGGCTCTTATTTGAATTTCTTAGTGCTGACTTACTTTGCACTAATTTTGAGGCTGCCAGCTTTTGTAACTTGCTTTTTAATGAAAACACTCTTGAGCCATGACTTAAAAGCTGCCAGTCTGTCTGTCTTGTTATTGCTCTTTAACATAGAGGGAGAGCCAGGCAGCATGACAAATTCAGAGCACTGAATGGTCAAGGGGGTGGATTATTACCTGAAGGCATCCAGTAATGTCAATAGCTCTCCTAGAGCCTGTGCCACCAACATGATAAATGTGGATCAATTCTGCACTGTTTATTTTTAAAGGTCACAAATTCAGCTTGGAATTGTGGCCAAATACATCCGTGCCAAGAAAGCCGTGACTGCAGTAGAGTGCTACGGAGAATCCTTGCAGTGTCAATGGATAAGATGTTTATACCTTTGAGTTGATAACAGGCAAATACATGAAGGCATACATGTCTAGTTTTGCCTTCAGAAGAGATTAAAGCTTTTAGTTCAGAAAAATCGAGAGTGCAATGCAGAAGTTGGAGCTTTTCTCCTAGCAGGAGAACCAAGCTTTTTTTTTCAGTTTAGTTGAGGGGCACTAGTCACCTCAGCATAAGTAGTTTTTAACTTTTTTGTGGAGAGCTTGTATAAACAACTTCAAGTTGTTAGATCTGAAAAACTTTAGGACATCAGAATTGTGAAACGTTCATGCTATCAGACTCAAAAAGAAGCCATAAAAGATAGTCTCAACAGTCCAAGGGAAAGAAACTGGAAAGGTTCAGTTAAGTAAAGTTTTAAAAGCTGAGATAGGAGTGATATTTTTCTGTGGGATTCTCAGTAATAGATAGTTTTGGAAAACAGGTTGAAACATTGTTTTGATGTTTGTGTAAAGATCTTTGTAAATGTCTTCTAAATACATATCTTTGTTTATTTGTACTTTATTGTGTAATAAATCTATGTTTGTTATCAAGGAACGTCTGCAGTCTTATGCGAACATATTTCAGTAACTAAACACAATGTTAAACAAATGAAAAAGTTAAATGTATGATCAATGAAGCCAGGCTTAATTCTGGGATCTGACTTCTCCAATATTACCAGCAGCTGAGATCATATCATGGGAAGGGTCACAGACCAAAACCTATAGAAAATGCCAGCCTTTTTACACCTAGATACAGAAAATGGCAGATTGATTTTCTCGACAGACAGACTCAGAGACCTGGAAAAGGAGTCAGACACTGACACTGCTGTGAACAACAGAGGTGTTTTGTTATATTGTTATAAACTGTTATTTGTTAACGGCCAAGCAGAATGTTGATGAGAGCTAGCTCTCTGTATGAAGAGATGGAACTTGTAAGAACCAAGGAGTTGTTGGAGAGTGCCTTGCTTTTGCAAGCTGGTTCTGAAATACTCAGAAAACTGAGTAGAACCATCTTCAATTGACTTTGCAAGACTCAATCTACTGTGGCAGGGAGAAGAAGATCTGCTGAAAAGCCAAGGAAAGTGTGGGACTTTTTTAGGATACATTTTTGCCAGGAATGTGACATTACACACAAAAGTATCGTAAAGTATTTCAGTTATGTTAGTTAATGAAGAAGTACCTTTTCCTTAATTTTGTGCAGTAGTTGTTTGTTAAACAATGTGTAGTCTATGTTGATTCTAGCTTGTTTGATGCAGTAAAAGTCTTAAATAATGAAATATCACTGTGTGATACTTCCCACCAGTTTCTGAGAAATTCATATCTCTTCTCCAGGTTATTAGTCTCTATAAGCATTGTTACAAACCTCTTTACTCCTATACTCTAAGTTAGTTGCAGTAATTTGTTTTCCTAATTGTTTGTCAGACCTTTTGCTTACTCCATAATCTGAATCTGTTTAAGTTTGGTCTATGCTTTGCAGCTACCTTCAAGTTTTTTGCCCATTATTTATATCTGTAGAAAATGTGTTGCACTATCCATTTTGTTATTTCTTTATTCAGAGGTAGATTTACCAAGCATCTTGGAACCTTTATTCAACAGAGCAATTTTTAAGAATTTCAAAATAACACATCATTTGTTTCAAAACCTAATTTTACATGTGAAATGCAGCAATGGAACAGAATAATCCAATTCCTGTTAAGGATGACAACATAAAGACTAAATTCTCTCTTGTGTGTGAAACTGAGATATCATTTTAGACTTCAATATCTCACAATTCTCGTGGCTGATTAAATCAGATTAAACTAGATGTTTTTGAATATCACTAGCTTCATGAGCTGCAGACATGTCCAAGGCAATATTTTGCCACAGAAAGAACCAAAATGCAGAAGAGTGAATTAGTTTTCCCTTGTAGAGTAAGAATATCAGAATGGTATAGGTATTTCATATTGGCATTTTGAATAAAACCAATGCCAACTGGTCTTCTTTGTTTTGCTTGAATTTAATAAATGATTCCGAGGCCAAACAGGAAATGCATAGAACTATTTAATTCCAGAGAAGGGACATAATTAATTTGTTCTCAGCACTTGAGCAGAAGGAAAGAATATTTTAGATTTTAAACATTGAAAAGGTGAGACAAAAAAGTGTGGATTTTGCATCTCCTGTGATTGTATGGGAAGGTGTTGGATGTTAGAGGAATGAACCCAGGGTGTTGCAGAGGGATCCCTTTAAGATGCTGAAAGGGGAGTGAGGATAAGTTATTTTTAGCTAGGGCATCTCACTGCAAGAGATGGAAATGACCAAGAATGGATATTTTGATTATAAAAACTGGTGGGATGGAAAGTGAGAAGGGAAGCCCTTTGTGGTTATGAGAGACAAGGCAAGGTTAAGAAGAGAATTATGTTAAAATGGAATAGGCACAGTGACTGTCTGTCAAAATGCTGTGGGAAATTGTCCCACTTCGGAGATCAAGCACTTAACCTTCATTAGGACTCCTGATAAAGGGTCCCAACTCAAAACATTCACTTTCCTGCTAATCTATTTTCTGCATTTTTCTTCTTTGAACTTAATCCTGTTCCTGATTTGTATATCTGCATAAGTGTGGAGCTGGAGGAACACAGCAGATCAGGCAGCATCAGAGGATCAGGAAAGTTGACGTTTTGGGTTGGGAGCCTTCATTGGGAGTCCTACTGTGTTCCTCAACTCCAAACTGTATCGACTCTGACTTCCAGCATCTGCAGTTCTTGCTATCTCTTAGAAAATAGATTATCTGGTTGTGTGGTTTTAGGACCACACCTGAGAGTTTGGGTTCAAGACAGACTGGTTGAGGAGAAGACAAGATCAAGAACTGTCTTCTAGCTTAGATTCCTGTAAAACTTTATTTATTGCATGCTAACACTGTACACAATTATAAATGGTCTGGGAAATACTAGATTCTCGTTGCATTGTTTGGAGACTAATTCCCTGTTCACTCTAAGGGCGTGGAATGCCCTGCCTGCAAAAGTAGTAGACTTGCCAACTTTAAGGGCATTTAAATGGTCATTGGATAAACATATGGATGATAATGGAATAGTTTAGGTTAGATGGGCTTCAGATTGGTTTCACAGGTCGGTGCAACATCGAGGGCCGAAGGGCCTGTACTGCGCTGTAATGTTCTATGTTCTAACTTAACTCTATCCCACACTGTTACTGGTGTCCAGTGGGAAGCGCTCCATAACATCATCGTAAGGTTACTGGAACTACTTTTTTTCCTTTATTCATTCATGGGATGAGGGCATTGCTGACCAGGCAGCATTTGTTGCCCATCCCTAAAGGCCCAAAGGGGGTTTAGAGTTTAGTATTAACCATATTGGTGTGGGTCTAGAGTCACATGTAGGCCAGACCAAGTAAGGATGGCAGTTTGCTTCTTTAAAGGACATTACTGAACCAGATCGGTTTTTCTGACAATTGACAATGGATTCATGGTCTTCATTAGATTCTTAATTGCAGATATTTTTATTGAATTCAAATTCCACCATCTGCCACAGTAGGATTCAAACCTGGGTCCCCAGAACGTTATCTGGGTCTCTGGATTAACAGTCCAGTGATAATACCACGAGGCCATTGCCTCCCCTGTACAGAAACTTCCTAAAGCCCTTAAACACCACTAGTTGTACACAAATTGGCTCAGTACAACCATCACTGCACTTAAATACTTCATTGACTGCAAATGGTTTGGGTTATTCAGAAGTGGGGTTATTTAGATACAAATTGGCCAGAATGGTAAGTGCCATTTGTCAACCCAATATTTCATTAACATTATACTGCACTTGAAGTCCATGGGACACCTGTAAAATTTGGTGTTGACTGCCATGAATTGGGCAACGATGAGGCTGACCTGCGAGGCGCATGCGCACTGTACCGTTGGCCCGGACTTGTGACAGCTGCGGGGAGCCGTAGTTGCCTGTTTGACGGTGAATTTGTTTGGAGATCCGGCAGTAGAATTCATCCGGAACAGACATGGGCTCCAGTGCCATCCAGATCCCCAGCCGGCTCCCTCTACTCCTGACTAACGAAGGGGTTTTACTGCCCGGCGCCTCGATGCGTATCAGTGTCGAAACTTCTCGAAACATTCAGTTGGTGAAGAGCCGCCTCCTGAGGGGCACTTCGGTAAAAAGCACCATCATCGGGGTCATTCCCAACACCAGAGACCCCGACAGCGAGACCGAGGAACTGCCTCACTTACACAGGTAGGCCGCCCCCCCCTTCTCCTCCCATTACAACCCGCGGCAGCACTCAAAGAGGGAGATAGTAAGAACCGCCGATGCTGGAGTCAGAGATCACAGAGCTGGATGAACACAGCAGGCCAGGCAGCATCAGAGGAGCAGGAAAGTTGATGTTTCGGGTCGGGACCCTTCTTCAGAAATGGGGGAGTCACCCTGACACCATCAGCCCATGACCCGGTGAGGGACAGCCCGGGCACCGGGTGGGGATTTTCAGATTTGGGGAGGGGTTTCAGACTGTACACTGGGTGAGGAACTTTCGACCATAAAACTGGACACTAGGTGAAGGGTTTCAGACCGTCAGGCTGGGCGCTGCGTGAGGGGCTGTGCCCGTCAGGCTGGGCGCTGCGTGAGGGGCTGTGCCCATTAGAGTGGAAATTGAATGATAGGCTGTTACCATGACGCTGTGTGAAGGACTTCTGATCACAAAAGATTAAATACTCTTAGAGTTTAGAGCTGGGCGCCAATGGAGGAATGGCAGATGAAGTTTAATTTAGATAAGTGTGAGGTGTTGCATTTTGGTAAGGCAAACCAGGCCAGGACTTATACAGTAAATGGTAGGACCCTGGGGGGTGTTGCCAACAAAGAGACCAAGGGGTGCACATATATAGTTCCTTGAAAGTGGAGTTATAGGTAGAAAGAATGGTGAAGAAGGCTTTTGGTACACTTGCCTTTCTTGGTCAGAGCATTGTGTATAGGAGTTTGGACATTATGGTGCGCTGTACAAGACATTGGTTAGGCCCCTTTTGGAATACTGCATTCAATTCTGGTCTTCCAATATAGGAAAGATGCTGTTAAACTTGAGAGCGTGCAGCAAAGATTCATAAAGATGTTGCCGGGGTTCGAGGATTTAAGCAATAGGGAGAGGTTGAATAGGCTGGGGCCATTTTCCCTCGAGGTTGAAGGGTGACCTTTTATAGAGGTTTATAAAATCATGAAGGGCATGGATAGGATGAATAGCCAAGGTCATTTTCCTGGGGAAGGGGAGTTGTAAACTAGAGGGCATAGATTTAGGTGAGAGGGGAAAGATATAAAAGGGATCTAAGGGGCAGCTTTTTCACGCAGAGGATGGTGCATGTATGGAATGAGCTGCCAGAGGAAGCAGTGGAGGCTGGTACAATTACAACATTAAAAAGTCATCCTGATGGATACATGAATAGGAAGGGTTTAAGGGGAAATAGGCCAAATGCTGACAAATGGGACTAGATGAATTCAGGATATATGGCCATCCATGCCGACTCTATGGCTATAACTCATGATTATGAACTTTGGCTTCAAAGCTTCCAATGATGGGATTTGAATAGACAATTTCTAGGGTAATTGTGGTCTGATACTATGCTACCATACCCATAATAAAACCAGCTATTATCTGTTAAATTTGTAATTAATATACCTGTTATTTTGAACAGTCTGAGGATTACAAAGCCAAGCATATCTCTTATAAATTTGGTCAGTCATAGAGATCTTATTTGTCATAAGTTCATCTTTAGAGTTGAATCTCATGTTTTTATATTAATGTATTAAAGTACATTGTCCAGTATCTACTTACAGTAGGATATAGTATGGGAGGAAAAAAGCCATTAGAAAGAATTTAGCTTTTTTCTTTGGTTGTTGTTGTTCAAGCAGTAGTTTGAAACTTGAAAGTCAGGCTCAGGAGGAGGGTTTTAGGATGAAAGATATAAAAGTATCTAAAAGCAAGGGTCGGGAAATTACATACAGTTGCAAGTATGAAAGTGAGGTATGTTGCTTGATGCTCATAGCTGTCTCTCTCTTTTTCCTCTAAGCAGCCTACTCCTTCCTCCAACCTTCATTCCCCTACTGCAACTAGGTGAGGAGGGGCGTGGCTTTTTTAATCCGCTACTGGTCAGCCATAACAATTTTTTAAAAAAACATAGCTATCATACTTCAATTAGACTTAGTTAACCAGATCAAAAATGGAAGAGAGCCATTTCATAGACTTTTTTGAGCGAAAGATAGTGAAGTTTTATTACCAACACCACATCACCCCCCACCAAAAAATTACAAGAAATGTGCACACAACACATAATGAGCTTACAAAGAGGCTGGGTGTGTAAGTAGTAGAGTCAGGAAGATAAAGGCACTTGCATTTTATAGCTTACTAGTGTATTTGAGTTGCAAGAGTGAAACCTGAGTCCCAGTTGCTTGGCTTTTGTCATGTTTCCTCAGGAGAGGTGAAGTTTGCAGGTACCCACAATCAGTCAATAGTGGTTTTTTTCATATTGTTTTTTCATTGTTGCTGTTTATTAAGGTTGAGGGTGAAGAGTTATCAGTATCCTTGCTCCCCCCATTTAATAAAGGAGGAAGCGAGAGTTGACATTGAAGAGGAATTGAACAGGAATTGCTTTGCGGCATTGCATTAGAGAGAAATGTCTTGCAGAACATTGAGGGAATGCAAGTGCCAGGAATTCTTTTCCCTCCACTTAAGCATACATAAAAGGCTTATGTTTAACATCTGTTTGGAAAGCTAGCACCTGTGACAGTGAAGCTGTCAAAGTGGCACTGATGTCTGTATTTGGGTTTGAACTCATGAATGTCTGATGCACGGGAGAGTGCTACAAACTGAGCCAAACTTACATGTAAAGTCCTAGAAATAAGGAAGGCACCGATGAGAAATGCCAAAGCAGAAGGTGAACAATGTGAAGCAGCCCAAATAACTGTATAATGGGACATGACAGCCTGCAAGAAAGAAATAATTGTGATTTTGATTTGATTTATTATTGTCACATTTACCGAGATACAGTGAAAAGTATTGTTTTCCATGCTATCCAGGCAAATCATACCTTACATAAATACAGAGCAATAGAACAGAATGCAGAATTTTGTGTTACAGCTATGGAGATGGTGCAGAGAAAGATCAACTTGAATATATGAAATGCCCATTCAAATACCTGATAACAGGGAAGAAGCTGTTCTTGAATCATGTTTTGAAACTTCTGTATGTTCTGCGTGATGAAAGAGGGTGGAAGAGAGTATAACTGAGGTGGGAGGGGTCTTCGATTAATTAGATGCTTTCCTGAGGCAACAGGAAGTATAAACGGAGTCAATGAATGGAAGGCTGATTTGCAGATTGCACTGGAGTTGGAGCTGCGTTCAGAGCTCTCTGTAATTTCTTGCAGTCTTGGGCAGAGCAGTTGCCATTCCAAGCTGTAATCCATCCAGATAAGATGCTGTCTATGGTGCATCTATAAAAATTGGTAAGAGTCATTGTGGACATGTCAAATTTCCTTAGCATTCTGAAGAAGTAGAGGCATTGGTATGCTTTCTTAGTTGTAGCATCGATGTAGATGATCAGGACAGATTGTTGTTGATGATATTTCCTCCTAGGAACTTGAAGCTCTTGACCATCTCCACCTCAGTGCCATTGATACAGACAGGAACATGTCCTCCACTCCGCTTTCTGAAGTCAATGACCAGTTCCTCCATTTTGCTGACATTGAGGAAGAGATTGTTGACTTTACACCATGCTACTCAGCTCTCTATCTCTTCCTGTATTTTGTCTCATTGTTGTTTAAGATCCAACCAGCATAATTATCAACAAACTTGTAAATGGAGTTAGAGCTGAATTTGGCGACATAGTGGTGAGTATATAAGGAGTATAGTGAGGGGCTGAGTATGCAACCTTGCGGGGAATCAGTACTGAGGATTATCATGAAGGAAGCGTTGTTGCCTATCCTTACTGATTGCGGTCTATGGGTCAGGAAGTCAAGGATCCAGTTGCGGGGGTCGGGTTGGCGGGGGGCAGAGTCCTAGGTCGCGGAGAGTATGGAGATGAGTTTGGTTGGAATTATGGTGTTGAAGGTGGAACTAAAGTCAATAAATAGGAGTCTGATGTACGCGTCCTTGTTATCCAAGTGTTTCAGGGCGCGTGTAGGCCAGGGAGGTGGCGTCTGCCATGGACCTGTTGTGACTGTAGGCAAATTGTAGTGGATCAAGGCAATCTGGGAGGCTGGAGCTAATATGTGCCATGACTAACCTCTTGAAGCACTTCATAATGATGGATATCAGAGCCACCGGGTGGAAGTCATTAAAGCACACTGCCTGATTTTTCTTTGGCAGTGTGATGTTAGTGGTCTTCTTGAAGCAGGTGGGAACCTCACATCAGAGTAAGGAAAGATTAAAGGTGTCTGAGAATACTCTCGCCAGCTGGTCTGCACAGGATCTGAGTGCACAGCCGGAGACTCTATGCGGGCCTGTCATGTTCTGGGGGTTCACGCTCGAGAAGGCCAATCTGACATCTGTGGTGGTGACTGTGGGTAAAGGTGCATCCGAGACAGTTGGGTAGGTGGCATCATTTCACTGACCTTCTGTTCAAAATGTGCATAGAATGCATTGAGCTCATCAGGGAGGGATGCATTTTACCAGTGATTCTACTCAATTTAGCTTTGTAGTTTGTTATATTATGTAAGCCTTGCCACAATCAACGTCTGTTCATGTAGTTGGCCTGGGACTTGTATTTAGTCTGGTATTTTCTCTTGGGGTCCCTGGTGGCTTTGTGAAGGTCATACCTAGATTTCCTGTATAGGTTAGGGTCACCCGACTTGAATACATTAGACGTGGACTTCAGTAGGGAGTGGATCTCTTGGTTCTTCTGTGATCTCTGGTTGGGGAACACTAAGATTAATTTCTTTGGTGTGCAGTCCTCTACACACTTACTGATGAAGTATTTTACAGTAGTGGCATACTCATTTAGTTTGGCCACTGAGTTCATGAATATGGACCAGTCCACCGACTCCAAGCAGTCCTGTAGGAGCATATCCATCACCTCAGCCCAGCACTGTATGACTGTCTAAACCAGATCCTCACGCTTCAGCTTCTGCTTGTAAGCAAGGAGAAGTAGCCTAGACTGTGGTCTGATTTTCCAAAATGAGGGCAGGGGACAAAGCGGTAAGCATCTTTGGTTGTATAGCAATGGTCCAAGTTGTTTGGGCCTCTGGTGGGATATGAAATGTGTTGATGGTATCTTGGTAGCACACTCTTGAGGTTGGAATGGTTGAAGTCACCGGCTACAATGAATAAGGCCTTGGGGTATTCTCTTTCAAGGCTGTTTATGGCGCTGTATATTTCATCAAGTGCACTCTTCAATTCCACATGGTTTGGGATGTAACTTGCTGTCAGGAAGTGAACTCCCACAGCAGGTAGTAGGGATGGCACTTCACCATTAGATATTCTAGCTCTGGAGAGTCAGGGTTGTCGGATCTGAGGTCCAAGAGGTATTGATCAGGATGCAGACCCCTCTGCCCCTTGCCTTGTCCGAAGACACCATGAAGTCCATCAGGTGAATCGAGAAACCCTCAGGTTGTAAGGCACAGTCAGGTGAAGCAGGAGTAGGCCATGTCTCTGTAAAATAGAACAGACAGCAGCCTCTCAATTCCCTTTGACAGGTGAGTCTAGCTTTAAGTTCGTCCAGCTTGTTTTCAACAGCGTGGACGTTTGCCAGGAGTATACTGGGGAGAAGGGACTTGAAGCAGGGTTGTTTCATTCTCACCTGCAGGCCAACAAGTCTCCCATATTTCCTGGGAAAATGGCTGCTTCTGGTCGGACTGGGATGTGTGTGTAGTCTGCTGTTCCAGAGGCATGAGGGTGCATCTGGCGGGGTCCAGGAAACAGGTTGTGGCTCCAGAGGGTCTTGTTCTCGATCAGGTTGGGCCATGATGTCGGGTCTCGACAAGGTTGCGTAGGACCACAGAATCGGATATCCATTTGGCGTTAAAGTCAGACTTTTGAAACACTGGTAGGTGGCTGGTCTCTCTATCATGGTCACAGTTTCAGTGTAAGCAATAGGGGCCCCATGTTTCACACAGCTGGGAGGTCCTGGTCTCTGTGGGGTCAGATCCAATCAGGTCGGGAAACGGTTGTTCCCAAAGGTTGAAAGATCACCAGACCTGAAAGCAGATTTAAAAGAACATCATTAGTAATTCTGACAGACTTATAGTTGAGATTTAAAAGAGTAAAATGATTATAATGGACGTAAGGAGGTGATCTGCTGAGGAGAGCTCTAAAAGAGTTGCCACTCTTTCTGTGCCATTTTGGGAAGAAATTTTAATTTCTTTAAAAAATTAGGAATGGGCGATCTGCGAAGTGGCGTAAAAACTAATATTTTAAAATAAACATAACTGTGATTTCAGTCCAGTTGTACAGGGGACAGGTTTCCATGCACTTCGCCCTGGACAAATGAGCTTTGGAAGGAGCTCTTTAAAGCTCTGTCTCCTTGTTGCATCAATTGAATACTCCAACTGACACTTTAAGAATTTTTTTGATCAGCTTTATTGAAAATTGATGCTAATACTGCCTTTCACAAATATGTATTTTCCTTAACTCTTAGATTTATCAGATATTGAATAAGCCAAGAAGATTGATTGTGTGAATTTTTTATAGGACATTGGTGTTTTTTTTTCCATATTTCGATTTTAACTTTGCTACAGATTCATGTACACATTTTTAGAGTCGTAGAGTTACACAGCACAGAAACACACCCTTTGGTGCAGCTCATCCACACTAACCAGATATCACAATCTGACACAATGAGATTTAGTCTCATTAGCCAGCATTTGGCCCATATCCCTGTAAACCCTTCCTATTTATATACCCATCCAGATGCCTTTTAAATATTATTATTGGACCCCTCCCCCCCCCCGCCTCTGCTCATTCTCTGAATGACAGCTCATTCCATGCATGAACCAACCTCTGCAAGAAAATGTTATTCCTCACGTCCTTTTTAAATCTTTCCTCTCTCACCTTTAACATATGGCCTCTAGTTTTGGACTCCCCACCCTGGGAAAAAGACCTTGGCAATTCACCCTATTCATGCCCCTCATGATTTTATAAACCTCGATAAGGTCACCCCCTCAGCCCAGCTGTATTCCCCCACTCACTATAATTCAAACCCTCATGTCCATTCTTTTGGAAAACTTAATGTTTGTTGACTTTTGGAGCGTAAACTACCTGAATTTATCCTTTTACACTACTGTATATCCTCACTTCCCCAAGTATTGTTTTGATTTGTATGTTTCTCTTACAATGATTAACCTATAAACAGGGACATTAATCTCATATTGTTGCATTTAATAATTTTGTATCATTGGAGTTATATTGTTTCTTAAGATTAAAAAGAAGTTAAATTCATATTTTTTAATTTTTTTTCTGCTATTGTAGGATTGGCACAGCTGGTATTGCTGTACAAGTCGTGGGTAGTAATTGGCCGAGGCCACACTATACTCTGTTGATTACGGGCCTCTGTAGGTTTCACATAGTTGAGCTGCTGAAGGAGAAGCCATATGCAGTGGCCGAAGTGGAGCAACTTGATCGGCTGGAGCAATACACAGATGGTGTTGGGGAGCTGAGTGAACTTTCACAGCAGTTCTACAAATATGCAATACAGGTTTGAGCTATTTCATAAATACAGTCTCCATATCATTTTCCTGAGTCAGTTTCAGTTTGATTAAAGAAGATTGTGTACTTAGCAGAATATGGAGTAATTCTACATTCTGCTAAGTACACAATCTTCTTTTATAAACTTTGCCTTGATTACATTGATAGTAGAGATTTGTTGTGTCGAAAGTTTGTCCATTGATACTGCCCTCAGGAGTTTCTAGTCAATGTTTCAGAATTTAATCCAATCATCATAAGAGGACAAATCACTCTAATTTTTAAAATTAAAGATGATCACTTCACTCATATCTAAACTATTCAAGAAAGAGGAAATTTTAAGTCGAGCCACTGAATGTTTTTTTTGTAAAACACAATAATGGACCTGTTGATAAATGAGACCTATAGTGTCGTGCCATATATTTTGTAATAGGTTTCTTTCCCACTCTTTAATCTTCCTGAGTGTAGAATTTGTCTCCCCATAGCTTTCCTCATCTATGCGATAGAGGAAGTTCACAACAGTGGTAGTGAGCTAGAACACTAAATTTTTAGGCTACTTGAAATAATGATAGGAGTAGGTTTAATCATTGATTAAAACTACTCACCTTCCAAAGGATAGGTGGGGGTGGGTTTGATGAGCTTGGGAAAGTAAAAACATTTTAAATTCTCTAACTGTACTCAATCTTAGAATAGTGCAGGCAACTAACCTGCTCTTAGGATATAGTGTGGGTGTGAAGTCAGCCAAGTCTTTTAAGGAGGCTGTTTGCTTGCAATTTTAACACAATTTGTATTTTTAATATATTAAATCCTTGGAGATAAAACATGAGATGAACTGGGTCCATGACCCATACAGTCCCTTCAGCCTACCGTGTTGACCATGATACCATTACAAACTAATCCCATCTGCCTGCACAAGGTCTGTATCCCTGTATTCCCTTCCTGTTTATGTGTCTGTCTAAATGCCTTTTTAAAGTTTGCTATTATGTCTGCTTCTACCATTTCCCCTGGCAGTGTATTCTAGTGACCTACCATATTTTGTGTAAAAAAACACTTACTTACCTCACACATCTCATTTATACTTTTCCCTTCTCACCTTAAAACTATGTCCCGAAGTATTTGGTATTTCCACCCTGGGAAAAAGACTCTGACCATTCACCCTATCTATGTCTTTCATAATTTTATATACTTCTATCATGTTGCCCCTCAGTTTCTGACGGTCTAGCGAAAACAATCCACATTTGTCCAAACTCTGCTTGTAGCTAATACTGGATGAGTGCAGCTTCAACAACACTCAAAGTTTGAAACGGTCCAGGGCAAAGCAGCCCTGATTCGATTCACTCCACGTGATATCAAGAAACGGTTGGAGACACTGGATACTGCAAAGGCTACAGGCCCTGACAACATTCCGGCAATAGTACTGAAGACTTGTGCTCCAGAACTTGCCATTCCCCTAGCCAAGCTGTTCCAGCACAGTTACAACACTGGTATCCACCCGACAATGTGGAAAATTGCCCAAGTATGTCCTGTACACAAAAAGCAGGACAAATCCAACCCAGCCAATTACCACCCCATCAGTCTACTCTCGATCATCAGTAAAGTGACGGAAGGTGTCATCAACAGTGCTATCAAGCAGCACCTGCTCAGAAATAACCTGCTCAGTGATGCCCAGTTTTGGTTCCGCCTGGGCCACTCAGCTCCTGATCTCATTACAGCCTTGGTTCAATAATGGACAAAAGAGCTGAATTCCAGAGGTGAGATGAGAGTGACAGCCCTTGATATCAAGGCTGCGTTCGACGAAGTGTGGCATCTAGGAGCCCTAGCAAAACTGGAATCAATGGGTATCGGGGGCAAACGCTCTGCTGGTTGGAGTCATAACTGTCACGTAGGAAGATGGCCATGGTTATGGGAGATCAATCATCTCAGCTCCAGGACATCTCTGCAGGAGTTCCTCAGGATAGTGTCCTAGGCCCAACCGTCTTCAGCTGCTTCATCAATGATCTTCCCTCCATCATTAGGTCAGAAGTGGGGATGTTCGCCAACGATTAGTGTTCAGCACCATTTGTGACTCCTCAGATACTGAAGCAGTCCATGTTCACATGCAACGAGATCTGGACAATATCTAGGCTTGGGCTGACAAGTGGCAAGTGACAAGTGACATTCGCGCCACACAAATGCCAGGCTATGACCATCACCAATAAGAGACAATCTGATCACTGTCCCTTGACATTCAATGGTGTTACCGTCACTGAATACCCCACTATCAACATCCTGGGGGTTACCATTGACCAGAAACTCGACTGGACTCACCACATTAACAGAGTGGCTACAAGAGCAGGCCAGAAGCTAGGAATACTACGGCGAGTAACTCACCTCCTGACTCCTCAAAGCCTGTCCACCATCTACAAGGCACAAGTTAGGAGTGTGATGGAATACTCCCCACTTGCCTGGATGAGTGCAGCTGCAACAACACTCGAAGCTTGATACCATCCAGGACAAAGCAGCCCGCTTGATTGGCACTACATCCACAAGCATCCACTCCCTCCACCACTGACACTCAGAAGCAGCAGTGTGTACCATCTACAACATGCACTGCAGAAATTCACCAAAGATCCTCCGACAGCACCTTCCAAACCCACGACCTCTTCCATCTAGAAGGACAAGGGCATCAGACATATGGGAACACCACCACCTCCAAGTCAGTCACCATTCTGACTTGGAAATACATCGCCGTTCCTTCACTGTCGCTGGGTCAAAATCCTGGAATTCCCTCCCTAATAGCATTGTGGGTCAACCCACAGCAGGAGGACCGCAGCGGTTCAAGAAGGCAGCTCACCACCACCTTCTCAAGGGCAACTAGGGATGGGCAAGAAATACTGGCCAGCCAGCGACGCCCACATCTCACAAATGAATAGAAAATAAAAAGCCCACTTGATTGTTATCATATCCACAAACATCCACTCTCTCCGCTACCAATGGTCAGTAACAGCAGTGTGTGCTAGCTACAGATGCACTGCAGAAACCCGTCAAAGATCCTGAGGCAGTATCTTCCAAATCCACAACCACGTCCATATCAAAGGACAAGGGCAACAGATACATGGGGACACCACCTGTAAGTTCCCCTCGAAGCCACTTACCATCCTCACTTAGAAATACATTGCCATTTCTTTACTGTTGCTGGGTCAGAACTTTGGATTTCCGTTGCTAAGCACATTGTGGGTCAACCTACAGCACGTGGATTACAGCAGTTCAAGATGGCAGTACACCACCACCTTCTCAAGGGAAAGTAGGGATTCACACGAAATGCTAGTGAGTCAGCGATGCCCATATCCCACGAGTAAATTTTTAAAGTAGTCTTATACATTTTGTAATATGACTTGTCAACCAATGAAGGCAAACATGCCATACCTTCTTTACCACCTTATCCAGCAAGTTTCAGGGACCTGTGGACTTGGACTCCAAGATCCCTCTGTGTATATCAATGCTCCTAAGGGTCTTGCCATTTACTGTATACTTTCCTCCTGCCATACTGTATTTTTCCAAAAATGCATTACTCATACTTGGCCAGATTAAACTCCATCTGCTGTTTCTGTGCCCAACTTTCCAATTGATCTGCATCCTACTGTATCCTTTGATAACCTTCAACACTATCCACATCTTTACCAATTTTCATGTTGTCTGCGAACTTACTATAAAACCACCCACAGTTTCATCTACATTGTTTGTTTATATATATTACAAACAACAGAGGTCCCAGTTCTGATCTTTGTGGAGTGCCACTCATCACAGACCTCCAGACAGAAAAACACCTTTCTGCAACTGAAACACACAACCAGCTCAACCCCACCAGTAATTGTCCAGCCAGCATTCTCTCACTACCTCCAGCATTTTAGCAAAATGCAAATTCCTCTGTAATGCCAGACTTGTTTACTCACTCACATCCCTCGCAAACCCCCAACCAACCCTCTTGCATTCCAGCCCGGCATTGACAAGCCAGTCAATCTGACTGGTGGCCAGGGAATAAACCTGAAAATATCTACAAGATGTGCAGTCAGTAAATTCTGAGAAGTGCAGGAAATCTGTAGTTCTGGTTTGCTGCTTCATGAAAATTATCAGTCCTCTCACTTCCCAGTTTATAATTTGCATTGGTGCTAATACATTTGAAAAATTTTGAAACCTGAAATGTTGTTTTCTAAAAAGACGGCAGAAAGATAATTGTGTGATTTAATGAATAAATCTTTGATCTTGAAAAAGCTTTTCTGAATCAAAAAGTACATGACCTATCTCTCTCATTACAAATTTATGAAGTAATAGATAATTCCTTGATATTTGCAGTTGGTGGAGATGTTGGATATGTCAGTACCGGTGGTTGCCAAACTAAGAAATTTGTTGGATAGCCTTCCTAAAGAAACGTTGCCGGATATCTTGGCATCAATTATCCGCACAAGTACAAATGAAAAGTTGCAGGTATGACTGGTTAAACCTCATACTAAGTTTTTTAAGTATGCTTTTGCATTGTGGAACAACTATAATTTTAAAAATTAATATCATTTTCTCACTCCAAAATTTGTGCTGTTTCTGTTATTAATCATGTAATCTCTACAGTATGGAAAGAGACCATTTGGCCCATCCAGTCCACACCAACCCTCCAAAGATCATCTCTCTCAGACCCAACCCCCCACCACCCTTACCCCGTTACCCTGCATTTATTATGGCTAACCCAAGTAGCCTACACATCTCTGGACACTATGGGCAATTTAGCATGGCCATTCCTCTTAACCTGCATATCTTTGGACTATGGGAGGAAATGAACGCAGACACAGTGAGACCATTCAAACTCCACACAGATAGTTGCCTGAGGCTGGAATCAAACTTGGGTTTAAAATCTCTTTTTTTTTTCTGTCACAATGGCCATGATCCAAAGCAAAGAGTAGCTCTGCCAATATTTAAATTCATTTTAAATATTAGTACCTTTGTAGCTTCTTTAGTAGTAAGTTTAGTATTTTATGTTGACTCAACATGATATACATTTTAATTTGTATTTTTAGAGCTTTGCTGCTGGAATTTGTGGTTTTGGGAGTGTGTATGTACTGTTTTAGAACTCTTCAATAATATCTTAATTTTCTTTCTGTTTTCATCCTGTCTCTGATACACAGATACTCGATGCTGTTAGTTTAGAAGAGAGATTTAAAAAATCCATACCATTGCTTGTTCGGCAAATTGAAGGACTAAAATTACTTCAGAAAACTCGAAAGTCTAAGCCAAATGATGAGAAAAGGGTAGGAATGTCTTGCTGTATAATATTGTATTCAGATATGTAATCCAGTTCTATTGTCAGGTGTGAATAATGAAATCATTTGCTGATGGAGGCTATATGATCACAAGTTAGACTTTTGCTTAAACAAAAGTGCTACATAATAAACTAATAGATAATGTAAAAACCCTATTCATGTTGGCTATGGCTTGATTAAGAATCTTGTGGCTCTGGATCCTAAGAGCATTCAATGCCCCTCTCTATTCCTTGAACAACAGCATCCCTCAAGATTAAAACAGAAATAAAGAGGTAATCCTGTAACATGCTTAAGTATTACATTATGCTCCAGTATTTGTATACGGTATTCTGTACAGAGTATCTGTTGCCAATAGGTGACCACTGACCACCTAGCCATGTGCAGGTGGCAGTGGTGATATCACACTACTGAAACAGATCCTTCTGGGCGACACCCCTCATGACAAGGGGTTTATAGGGCTTACCATTTTGCTCAGAAAATGGAGCAACAAATGAGGCGGTGTGTGAGATACCGAGGGCTCTTTCTGAGTGCACTTCTGGCTCAATGGTTTTTGAACTCATTTCAGAGGTTCCGCTTAAAGGATATATTAACAGTTTGGTGCTGCAAGTTTAATAAAACCGCTCGCTGTCACGTCCTTTGATTTCATTGAGCAGATACTTAGGAGTTTCACGACAAGGCTGTGTTCTCAAAAATACACCATTACTGTGCCATCTGTATTGGTGGCATTTACAATAAACACAGCCATTTCTGTGTCATACTGAGTTTTATTGTGGGCCACCTGTTTAGTTGGGGCTACTTGTTACAGACCCTGTACATCTATTGATATTATTATTCCTATATCTGTTGCCGAGAGTACATTAGTACACTCAAGAATCCATTTCAGAATTATCCTGGTTTCTTTCATTTTAAATTTTAAACAAATGGATAAGGTTCTTGAATAGATTTGTAGCTTGGGTTGTGGATGCTGTGGTTGGTTCGTTAGTTTGCAGACATTTCATTACCCTGCTGGGTAACCTCATCAGTGCAGCCTCCGACGAAGTGTTGTTGTGTTTTCCCACTTGTTATTTAAACTCTGGGGTCCGTTGGAGTTGATTACCTCATTTCCAGTTTTTCTTTGCTGCAGTGTGTATACAGGATCTAATTCTGTGTTTATTGATGGCCTTCTTGGTGGAGAACCAGGCCTCTACAAATTCCCGTGCTTGTCCTAGAATCCTGACATTGTCCCAATTGAACTGGTGGTTCTCCACATCTGTGTGTATGGAGACTAGTGAGTATTGGGACAAACAGAGATGGGCACAGGAATTTCTAGAGGCCTGGTTGTCCACCAAGAAGGCTATCAATAAACACATAATATTAGACCCGATGTACACACTACTGCAAAGAAAAGCTGGAAATGAGGTTATCAATTCCAACAGATCCCAGCGTTTCAATGACTAGCGGGAAAACACAGTAACGCTTCATCGGAGGCTGCACTGATGATGTTACCCAGCAGGATGATGAAACGTCTGCAAACTAACAAACCAGCTCGGCAAGCATACCAACCACAACAAATGGATAAAAATGGGAAAAAAACTTAAGATTTATCAAAAATAGAAAGCAATTGCAATGCTTGAAAATCAATCTAATTGGAGTGAATATGGGACCAGACTATAAATTCCTTCTCAATTTTTTTTCTAATAATAAAGACAGAATGTCATCCATTATCTTGCGTACTGTGCTGACTATATAATTTCTACAGAGGCTGTGTTCTCTGTTGTGGTGTCTGTATTTTAGCACATGGCCTGTTTTGCTGTTTTCTATCAATTGGTCCTCCTAGGATCCTCTTTTATGAATACTATTTGACCAAACTTTTAGCCATCTATGTAAAGATCTCCTGCTATGGTCCAGTGTCAGTTTTTACTTGAATACATTTTTTTGTAGATCGTTTATAAAAGTAGGTTGTTTGCTTTCTGAAAATGACTTTTATATTTTTTATAATGATATTTCAAAAGCACGAAACAGTTGGGAATATTTATGGTGAAAACAGGAATTCTCCCATCTTTATTAAGAGGAGTTGCATTCTTTATCTCAGTGACAATTATGTATCAAACCGCAGTAATGATCTCTGTTTCAAAAATCCACATATGTACGTTTTGGAGTAAACCATTTGAATCAATTTACCTGGTTACATTGCCTAAAGAATTGCTAATTTAGTGACCAATGATGCTACAGAATCCATATTTGCACAAAGTAACGAATGTTTCTGAATTCTAAATGTTACTTATACCATTGTGATGTTCCTTGAGTTGGTTAAAATAAGTTGCTAAACCTGATGTTAGAGATTTTGTTATACTTATCAGAAGTATTATGTAATTACTAGATTGTGGCCATCCGACCTATTCGGAGAAACAATCAAGTTCCTGGAAGACCATTGCATTTGGATGCAGTTGAGGAGGAGGATGATGATGACGATAGTGATGATATTGTTATGTTGGAGAAGAAGATTAAAAATTCAAATATACCAGAGCAGGCAATGAAAGTTTGTATGAAGGAGATCAAAAGGTGCGTGGTGATGGTTAACAAAAAGCAGAAACCTTTTTGTTCTTCCAAGAGTAGCCGCAAATACACGCCACTAGCTTGGTGCAATTTTTTTTAAATTAACTTTCAGAAAGGAATTTATTACATTTAATGAATTTTGATTTATTCTCTTAAAAAAGGTACACAATAATTTAGATTATCCTTTTGAATTTTTATGCTGTTGCCAGTACATCATTTTAAAATGTGTGACAGTGCAGCATATACTGTTAAGGTTAAATATATTGATAGTCTGTTGGTGCTGTTGCTCTGTTTCTTTAAAACTAAATTAATGATACACATGCACGTTTCAAAACAATATTCTGATTTGGAGGCCTTTGGCAGGTATCATCAGCACCAATAGTACAGTTAATTAATGGTCTGTTTTCAGATTCCATTGTGGCACTCTCACATGTCTTTTTATGTTTTGTTTAAATTAATGACTTTTCTTGTTACCATTGTCCATCGCTGTTTCTAAATTCCTTCCCAGGGATATTCAAATGTTAGTTAGTTGGAAATGTTTTCTAGCTGTTTTTTGTTGGTTTGAATCATTTCTGCAGTCACAAAAGTGACGTTAAAACTTCACATCCATGTTATTTACATTTTATTTTCAATGGCGTTTGCCATTTACAGGTTAAAGAAGATGCCCCAGTCAATGCCAGAGTTTGCTTTGACCAGGAATTATCTAGAACTAATGGTGGAACTGCCCTGGAATAAAAGCACAACAGGTCAGAAGCAATTCTCAGTAATCCAGAAGCAAAAGAAAAGTGGATTAACAAATGGTCATGGAGCTCAAATGATATGTTTTGTTAAGAGGGATCAGTATATATTGTAATGAATATGGCAATGTCTACTGAAGTCAGCAATTGTGGGAAATTCTGTATGCACGCTAACCCAGAAACACACGCGCACACAATTCCAGACCCACTAGGCCATCGTGTAAAATTATGATGATATTATACACAATGGATAGTGTGTATGTGCTAATGTCAGCAGACACAGCCTAGAAATTATTTGCTTAATGTTAAAGATTGCTTTAAGTCCCAATCCTTGCATCTCAAGGCATATCTTTTCTGAAAAAGCAGTTCTGTAATTTTTTCAGTGTTAGAGGGCTTTATATTTGCCCTCCAGCTTTGAGATGCTGCCTGCTATCCAAATGGATAGCAAGCTCCCTTTTGAGGAATGTCATTGTACTCTACACAAGGCAAGATTTTGGTCCCCATTTGGCCCTAACAGTGGAGTTCCAAAGGCACCACTTAGCTAATAGTTCAGCCCCAAAAATAGCAAATGAACAAATGATCTGACATTTTTTGTTCTTGGTAGTGTTGTTTGATTACAGCATAATATTGACTATGAAACCAGGTGGACTTTCTGGTTTTCATTAGATTTCTGAAACATATACCTGCACTGGAAAACAGCATCAAAGCTTTCATCCAAAAGATGGCACCACCCTCTGTACAACAGTCCTTACAATAGTACAGAATTTGTCCATCCAGATTATATATTCTAACTTGTAGTTGGCTTGTACTTCAAATCAAACTGGCTATTTATTTATAACTGCATGTAAAGTCAAACTTTAAATTACTGAGCAAGTCTCTTAGATAGACTGAGGAAGTCTATCTAAGGAAAGGATTTTGTTGTTCCAGAGATAAGAGGCTTGGCATATGCTGGGATAGAGATCCCTTAATATTTTCTTTTCACTTTATCGTCTGTCCAGTTCTTGCAATCATTCCATCTGGCTGTGATAATGTACTTTCCATTTTTCCATTTTCAGTCACTTTGGCTGAGAGCTCTGCGGTATAGTCTGGCTAGACCACAAGGATTTGGGAATTGTAGTGCATGTAGCGTGTCTTTTATTTGAAGAAGAGACCTGCTAGAGGAGGTCCTTGAAGAGGAACAAACCTAGAGGTTGTCCATTCCTTGGTTTTGCTCGTCTGCTTGAAGCCCCGCAAATATTCCTTTAAAAGTATAAGCCATTGGAACGGGATGAGGGAGGACAATGTTTCTTCTTCTTTTGGTTAAAAGCATTTTCTCTCTCATCTCACTCTCGGCCCCTATGATTTCTTTTGCATTGTCTACTGTTCACTGCATGTTTAACCTCCTTTTGGAATGGAAAGGATGCTTCTGTGCTGGTGCCAGGGTGAATGATAGTCCATGTGATAGTATGGCAGCTTGTTTGGAAGCAGAGAGGCTTTGTAAATCTTCTTCCTGTTATTATGCTGTGTTGCATCCTAAGACAGTCTAGGATATGTTTCTTGGGGCAAGAATTCACATGCGTTTCGGTGTATGGAGTTACATGAAGATTTTCTAATCTATTTTGCTGGTCTTAAATGCAGGATAAAATAAAATTTTGAATGAAAAGGAGCAAAATGTCAAGACTAAGTTATCCAGAACTGTGCTCTGCCCTCCTCGTATGGGGTTGGGGAAATGTGTATCACCTTTGGCTAACGTCTTTAGTAATGCCTTTTTCTTCATTTTGAGGAAGAATGCAAAATGTCATTATCATGCATTTTCCATGACAAGGCACTTGTCAGCTGTCAAACCATACTGGTGTGATGACAGATGTAGGAAGCAAGCAATCATGTAATAGGAGGCTTTTCTTGTACATGCATGTAAAGCTGTTAGTGAAGGAAGACTTGCAGGTGAAGGCAAGTAGTTCCTTCAGAGCAATAACAGTGAACTATTGAACTACTTTTAAAATTTAAGGGGAAGAGAGTTGTAAATTTTAAGCGTTCTTTGTTCTGTGAAATTCAGTACCTAACTTTTCAAAATGCATGGAAATTGGTATGGAGCATCAGGCAGCCTCTTGATATGTTTCTGCCTTTCAGCAATCTTGCCAGGGATGTAGCTTGACTGCCACCAGCTACCTTCCTTGCAGAAGTGGATTGCTGATTGAGTGTCCACTTGAGGGCGAATTGCTGTTGCCACTGAATTTTCAGTGGTGGATTCACCTCCCTACTACAGCTAAAATCTTGCTGTTGTCTGGAGGCAGTTTCCAAGTGGCATGACCAGCTTGGCCGCCTTTACTTCTGCACTAACCACAGTGGTGGTTTGACAACTTCCATTGTTTAGTATGATTTTATAATTCATCAGAATGTGACTCTACCTTAAAGTGCCCTCCATTTCTTCTTTCATCAGCTGTGTTCATCAGTCCTACTGAGCTGTTGCCTGTCAGTTCCCTGGTCTGTCAATTGTCCTTAAATTGGATGGGCCTTCTGGAGTCACCTTCTTAATTGACTGCCTCCAGCAGATTACATCTCTTCACATCGACTTCAGGTTGTTGACTTGGAATTAGGGTCGCTGTCAGTTCCTGGTGATTTATGAATCTAGGAAAGTGTGCTTGACTTACTTGACTTTAGATGTTATGTGGACCTGAGTTGTGGAATGAAATTAACAGCACTAGACCTTTTTGTCAGCATCTGAGCACTTTCTTTTGGTATTCTTTGCTTGTTCCTGGAGAACGCCTCCTCTCTCTGCCTTACTTTACCCAAAAGAAAATTTAGTGTGTGTGAAAATATGGGGCTCTATACACAGCAGCAGATTGCTATGGCATTCACAAAAGTGATCATGCCTGGGCTTTTAAGCTGCTGCAGATGTTTAAATCCTACAGCAGCTGCTACTTCCCATTCCTAAATGTCAAACTTCAACTCGGATGGGTTGTTAGAGCCAGGATTTCATGGCAGTATTAAAACTGGGTTCATTGCTGGGTAGCCCTTGGGCCTGAATCCTAACACACTACATCTGTGGCATTATCCTGAGAGGAAAATCCAAAATAGTATTCCCTGTAAGAAGGAAAGAATGGCATTTTCTAGGAAGAACAGGACTTTTTTTTTTTTTTTTTTTTTTCTTGTCCCTTTCTGTCCATTTTTGAGATCACTTCCACCTCCTGTAAGTAACTAAATTACTAATTAAGATTGCTATCATCTGTACTTCATATAGAATCATAGAATCCCTACAGTGTGGAAACAGGCCATTTGACCCATCGAGTCCACACCGACCCTCTGAAGAGCATCCCACCCAGACTTCTTGTTCTACTCTATCACAATAACCCTGTATTTCCCATGGACAATCCACCTGACCTGCACATCCCTGAACACTGTGGGGCAATTTAGCATGACTAATCCACCTAACTTGCACATCTTTGGACTGTGGAAGGAAAGCAGAGCACCCAGAGGAAACTCTCACATACATGGGGAGAGCATGCAAACTCAACATGGGCAGTCACCTGAGGCTGGAATTGAACCTGGGTTCCTGACACTGTGAGGCAGCAGTGTTAACCACTCAGCCACCATGCCACCCATATATATATCAATAGTATTTATATTTAATTTCCAAAAACTCATCTTATAAGTATGGAAAGCAACTCCTTAGGGCCATGTTTTGCCTGATAGATTGAGAACTAATTCCAGCTTGTTATTTCTCCTTCCTTTTTGCTTCAATTTTATTATATAATTAAGAACAAGTGATTAAATATAAGTTTCATATGTCACCCAGACATGAGTATACTTTTCTTGAGTAGTTGTGATGCCAAGATAATATGGCCCCAATTACCTGAAAGATCTCTTGCTCACCTTCTCAATCCATCCTCCCTTTTTGTAACCATTTGAATGCAGGTTGGCACTTCAGTTATATCATCAGAGCACAGGTCTGGTAGGCAGTTCTGTGCACAGAAAAAACGTGTTAGTATTTTCTGCATTGTTATGTTTTTTAACAGACCATGGTTTTTGACATTTTTATATTTTCAGCCAACCTTGTGCATTTTGTCTTTTTCTGGTTTAGACTTTTCCCATGCTTTTCAACAGCTTGGCAATTTGCACACTTTTATATCCTTTGCCTTTGTGCTACTGATTAAACTTTTATGATAACAGATGTTTAATTGAGAAGCAAGCATGTTTCAAGGTATTCTAAATTGAAAGGGTTTAACTTGCATAAAGCCTATCATAAAAATCATCATGATTCAAGTTGTTCCTTTAAACCACCTTGGGGATTTGCTATAAATACATGGAAGAAATGTGTTGATTCTTGTAGTTGGAGTCTTCTGAAAAAACTTTTGACATATTTATATTTTTACTAGATTGGTGCAATTGCATTCATATTTGCTGGAATGTAATTAATTAAGTGGCTACAGTTGTTTAATTGTTGATGGGTAATGTGGGACATGGCATTAAATTATTTGTGCTGGAAATCTGTATTTGTGTAATGAAGTGTAAAGTTGCTGTTAATTGTTGCTTCGTGTTACAGTATTTATGGGTGACAATTTGTCAATAATTCTCATTGCCTTGTTTACTATATCTGTAATTTATTGGCTTTAGAGTAAAGTAGTTTATAATGTATTTGCTAGATCATGAAAAATGCATAGAATATTATAGATATATTCTTGTGAAATGTAATAGCTTATGTAATGCTTCTGATGTTTCAGTGTAGTCAATTTCTTTGGTCCGTTTGATCTGGATCTATTGTTTTTCAGTATTCCTGCCTTATACACAGTTGTTGCAGTTGTTATAGTCTGTTTACCAAATTTAACATTGATTTAGACCCCTTCATTAAATTTTCTTAAGAATGATGAATCTTGCAGTTTATATTACAGGGTGACCACCTTGAGAACCGAGTAACTTTATTTATAAATCTGTATATGCAAAATAATAAGTGGTAAATATTAAAAGGAGCACATACCTACGCCATAACCCCGAGGAATGTACAGAATTGTTTAATTGCACAGCATCAATAATGTTGGGTTTTGTTTTAGACTGTAGTGTTATCACATCTCTATTGACGATAAGTGATTTATAATTGGTTTACAGATCGCTTGCACCTTCGTGCTGCAAGACTTTTACTTGACAGTGACCATTATGCAATGCAAAAGCTCAAACAAAGGGTGTTAGAGTACCTTGCAGTCAGACAACTTAAAAACAACCTGAAAGGACCTATCCTCTGCTTTGTGGGACCTCCTGGTGTGGGCAAGACCAGTGTGGGCAGATCAATCGCTAAGACTCTTGGCAGAGAGTTTTACAGGATAGCACTGGGTGGAGTGTGTGATCAGTCTGATATTCGTGGCCACAGGTATTTATACTATAGATATTTGAATGTCTTTCTTGTTTAAAGTAATACTTAGAAATTTGGACTTGCACATTTTAAACCCCTTTGGTGAAATTCCGATTAAATAGTCATTCATATTCAATGACGTTAGCATGCTAAGGTGCGTTGCTATTTCTTTTTTGTATATTTGTCAATTGTTATATTTGCATCCCTTTTATTATTTACAATATTTTCATTTTACAACAATAAAACATAAGGCCTTTGCTTAGATGACAGACTTCCAAAATTCAACTAACTTGCTTTGAATCTTGCTGGCTGTGTTTCTAGGCTGGAAAAGAAACAGTCAGTCAAAAAGATTTTTCAAGAAAATTGGTAAAACCGACTCCAGAATTCTTTCACACCTTAAAAGAAGTAAACATTGCTTTCTACTTACATTGACAGAATCCTAGATATATAATCGAAACAGAGTAACCAGGTGAGGGCATTCAGCCCCATGAGCTTGTTCCGTCATTTAGTTAGATAGCACATGATGCCCTTGCCTAACAAGTATCTATCAATCCTGGTTTTGGAAATTTCAACTGACCTTGTATCTAGAACATTTCTGAAGAGTTCCAGATTTCTGTTATGCCTTGTGTGAAAGTCCTTCCTGATTTAGTTTCTAAATGGCTTAGCTGTGATTTTAAGATTTATGCCCCTTTGCTCTGGATTTTTCAACCAGAAGAAATCCTTATCTATTGAATAACTATACCATTTTAAAGATGCCAATTAGATCACCCCACAGCCATCTGAATCCAAAGAATGTACAAATCAAAATTATACCAACCATCCTCAGAAAACTTTATTTAGAGACTTGGCATTCTTGTGAATCTTTACTGTACATGTTTAAGGCTACTTTTACATTTCAAAAATGAATGCAGTGTGAAATAACTCCAGAGGCTGGTATTCTGTCAACAATTCACTCTTTAATTTCACATGGAGAGTCCTTGATGCAGAGCCAGCGCTCAGAGTGAACAGAACCTCTGACACTCCTGTCAGCCAGGGCGCTCTTATTTTTTTTTTCTTTATTCATTCACGGGATGAAGGCATCACTGGGCAGGCAGCATTTATTGCCCATCCTTAATTGCCCAGAGGGCAGTTGAGAGTCAACCACATTGTGGATCTGGAGTCACATGTAGGCCAGACCAGGAAAGGATGGCAGTTTCCATCCCTAAAGGACATTAGTGAACCAGATGGGTTTTTCCGATCATCAACAATGGATTCATGGTCATCATTAGATTCTTAATTCCAGATATTTTATTGAATTCGAATTCCACCATCTGCCGTGGCGGGATTCAAACCTGTTCCCCAGAACACTATCTGGGTCTCTGGATTAATAGACCAGTGATAATACCACTAGGCCATCACTTTCCCATATTGGGGTTGTTAATTTGGTCCATTCAGGGAACTCACATTCTGAGAGGTGCACCTGGCTGACCTCGTTACAGACGCTACACAGTGTTCTCAATGGGATCTGTTGAAATCTCTGTGCAATTGAAGCATCACACCCTCACCATTTCTATTCTTGCCTTTTTCAGATAAAAACCAAGCTTCCATTTTCCTTTTTATTTGCCCTTCATGTCTGTAAACTTGTGTTTAGTGAAATGTGTATTTTCATACCTCCATAAGCCATTTTGTTTCTCCAGATTTCCAAGTCTTACCATTTAAGAATATAGTATGATCTTCCTTTTTCTGATCTACAATGGATGAGTTCACACTACTCCAAAAATGAACTGTAATTTGTGCCATAATATAATTTCCTGGTCCTGTATACATATGCTGATCCTGCAGAATCTCAGTGAATTTAACAAATTGGTAGCTGTTAAGTTAAGTATCATCATGAAGCCCACGCTTTTGGTTTTTCTCATTTTGGTGTTGCTCTTAATAGTTAGAGGGAATCCTATTTTATACTGCGTGATGTATAACTTCCTAACCAGACCGTTGAATTATGATCATCAATTATTCAGAGTATTAGGAAGTTCTAGTGGTATTCTTGAGTTTAAGTGTATAATTATGCGAACCAGTAGTTTTGATTTTCAATAACAGACATTTTAATAATGCCTTTTAACATAGTAAAATGTACCAGGACATTTCACAAGATGGTTATCGAGCAAAATTTGATACTAAGCCACAAATGAATCTTGGGACAGCTGGCTGAGAGATTTAACAAAGAGGTAGATTTTTAAGGAGTGCCTCAAGGAAGGGGAAAGAGACATAGAAAGAGCGAAGTTAATTCCACAGCTTAGGACCTCAGCAGATGAAGGCACTTCTGCCACTGGTGAAATGATTATTTTAGGGCTGCATATAATGCCAGAATTAGAGGAATGCAATAATCTTAAATCTGTATAGCAGTGGAGGTACAAAGCCCTGAAGGAAGCTGAAAATAAAGATGAGAATTTCAAAACTGAGGTGTTGCCTTACTGACAAGGCTTGGTTGGTTAGGTAGCTGTTTCGAATATAGGACAGAGGAGGATGAATTCTTCTCTGAGGGGAAGACTGCTTGTGTGTATTTAAGGATGAGCTGGGTAGATTCTTGATCAGTAGGGAATTAAGAGTTGCGGGAAGATTTAGGAAGGTGGATGTGAGTAGTGTTGGATCAGCCATGGTCCTGTTGAATGGCTGAGCAGTGTGAGGGGCAGAACAGCCTACTCCTGTTCCTATTTCTTATGGTATTATGGTCTTATAAGATCATGATGACTGGGAGAGTGCTTGTGGCACAGTGGTAGTGTCCTTATCTCTGAGCTGGGAGGCCTGAGTTCAAATCTCATCTACTCTAGAGATGTGTACCGACATATCTGAACAGATTTATTTAAAAAATACCTCATTATCAGTGAGAGAGGGGTTTGTGGGAACCTTTTGAGGGGATAAAAACCTGAATGACTAGCGTCATCTAGAGTTTAAAGAACCATCGTTATGAACTGATATTGTCATTCATGTGGATTGATTCTAGTTCTATTTCTTTTATGAATTGTTCTTTGAATATTTTAGTGCATCTTTATACTATCTATTATTGTTTGCTCGATATGTTTGTCCCTAGCAGGCAGGGAAGATGGCGGTCGAGTGAGGGAGCCTTGGTTCTCAAGAGAGGTCGAACGACTAGTTAAGAGTAAGAAGGATGCTTATATAAGGTTTAGGAAACGAGGATCGGAAAAGGCTTTAGAGGGATACAGGTTAGCCAGGAAGGAGCTGAAGAAAGGGCTTAGGAGAGCGATAAGGGGGCATGAGAAAACCTTGGCAGATAGGATCAAGGAAAACCCCAAGGCTTTTTATACGTACGTGATGAATAAGAGAATGACCAGAGAAAGGGTAGGGCCGATCAAGGATTGTAAGGGGAATTTGTGCACGGAGCCTAAAGAAATAGGAGAGGTCCTAAATGAATACTTCGGTTTTCACAACTGAGAGGGACCTGGTTGTAGGGGAGGACAGTGTGAAACAGGCTGGTAGGCTAGAGGAGGTGGATGTTAGTAAGGAAGATGTACTAGGAATTTTGAGGAACTTGAAGATAGATAAGTCCCCCGCGCCTGATGGGATTTATCCAAGGATTCTATGGAAAGCGAGGGAAGAAATCGCAGGGCATTGGCAATGATCTTTTCGTCCTCAGTGTCCACGGGTATAGTGCTGGAAGACTGGAGAGTGACAAACGTCATTCCCTTGTTCAAAAAACGGAATAGGGATAACCCCAGAAATTACAGGCCAGTTAGTCTTACTTCAGTGGTGTGCAAATTATTGGAAAGGGCTCTGAGAGATAGGACTTATGATCACTTGGATAGGCACAGTTTGATTCATGATAGCATGAATTTGTGAGGGGTAGATCATGCCGCACAAACCTTATTGAATTCTTTGAAGAGGTGATCAAACACGTGGATGAAGGTAGAGCAGTAGATGTGGTATACATGGATTTAAGTAAGGCGTTTGATAAGGTTCCCCATGGTAGGCTCATGCAGAAAGTAAGGAGGCATGGGATAGGGGGAAATGTGGCAGATTGGATTCAGAATTGGCTGACCCTTAAGACAAAGGGTGGTAGTGGACGGACAGTATTCAACATGGTGCCCAGTTACGAGTGGTGTACCACGAGGATCTGTTTTGGGTCCTATGCTATTTGTGATTTTTGTAAATGATTTGGATGTAGGAGTGGAAGGGTGGATTAGTAAGTTCGCGGACAATACGAAGGTGGGTCGAGTTGTGGATAGTGCGGAGGGCTGTTCTAGGTTACAAAAAGACATTGATAGGATGAGCCGAGAAGTGGCAGGTGGAGTTTAACCCAGAAAAGTGTGAGGTGATTCATTTTGGAAGGACAAATTTGAAAGCAGAATACAGGGTTAACGGAAAGATTCTTGGCAGTGTGGAGGAGCAGAGGGATCTTGGGGTTCATGTCCACAGTTCCCTGAAAGCTGCCAGCCAGGTGGATAGAGTTGTTAAAAAGGCGTATGGTGTGTTGGCTTTCATTAATAGAGGGATTGAATTCGAGAGCTGTGAAGCTATGCTCCAGCTATACAAAACCCTGGTTCGGCCACATCTGGAGTATTGTGTCCAGTTCTGGTCACCTCATTACATGAAAGATGCGGAAGTGTTGGAAAAGATGCAGAGGAGATTTACCAGGATGTTGCCTGGAATGGAGGGAAGGTCTTACGAGGAAAGGTTGAGAGAGCTAGGGCTTTTCTCTTTAGAATGACGAAGGATGAGAGGTGACTTGATAGAGGTGTACAAAATGATCAAAGGTATAGATAAAGTAGACAGCCAGAGACTTTTTTCCTAGGGTGGAGGTAGCTATTACGAGGGGGCATAGTTTTAAAGTGAGTGGAGGTAGATACAGGGGAAATGTCAGAGGTAGATTCTTTACTCAGAGAGTGGTTGGGGCGTGGAATGCATTGTCAGAGGGGTAGCGGAGTCAGCCTCATTAGGGGCATTTAAGCAGCATATGGATGATAGTATAAGGTAGGGGTGGAGGTTAGATAGACCTTAGGTTTAGGGTAAAAGTTCGGCACAACATCGTGGGCCGAAGGGCCTGTACTGTGCTGTACTGTTCTATGTTCTATTGATAAAACCTTAATAAATTTACCCAACTAGTCTTAGTATATTTGCATTGTTCTGGGAGGGTATTGTTTTCTATCTTCAAAAATAATCTGACACGTCCCGTGCATTTTCTAGTTAGTAATGTACCACAGCTGGATTATACTAACGCACAGCCACAAATTGGGTGAATGGAAGTATGAGGATAGCGCATAAACTTTCATTTTTCCTCTCTTTTCAGTTTAGTTAGTGCCTTTTCATTATTGAGCTTAGCACTTCATCGTTAAAAGAAAATAAGGTCTTTGCACTGTTTTCTAAAGATTTGAATATGATGTCTTTCAGACGAACATATGTGGGCAGCATGCCTGGCAGAATCATCAATGGTTTAAGGACTGTTGGCGTGAATAATCCAGTGTTCCTCCTGGATGAAGTAGATAAATTAGGAAAAAGTCTCCAAGGGGATCCTGCAGCAGCTCTCTTGGAGGTACAAATATTCCAAAATTTAAATTGCTTAATGATCGAATTGGGCAAGCTTGACCTGGTAGTCTGCATTGAAAAATCCTAAGGGTAATAAGAAGTAAATCTCTAGCAAAGGAATATTTACTAATTTTATATTTTTCCCCCCTCGGCTTGGGTGCAAACACTCAATTCCATTCAAGTTTCAAAATAAAAGAGCTTGTGTTTTAGCCTCTTTATGCCTAGTCATTTTCTGCCGGCAGTTTGCTGTTTATAGATCTGTAATGTTTCTCATAAAAATGCATCACGTATAGCCAACTGGAAGCTATAGGTCAAACTTTTAATGTGAAAGGTTCTAAATTATTAGCATTCTTTTCACCATTGCAGACTTTTTCTTTTAACTTGTTATAGAAATTTGACATTAGTGAGCCTTATTTGAGTGGTTTGAGTTCGAGTTTTATAATTAGTCTGAGATTTTGGACCAGAATGCCTTCTAGTTTTGTATTGCACCTTGTATCTCAACTATTAAGACATTTGTATCTTGTTGACCATAGTACTCACCAAAAAAGAAATACAGTAATGTGTTCAAATTTCATATCTATACCCTAATAGCCATATAGCACCCAGCAAACTACCTGAGCTGAAATTTGTAGGTAATCTTCTAATACTCCTGTTTAGGTTTAATCTTTTGATGTTGTTCTGACTACTTCTATTTGGAAACTAACCCAGCGCTCTGGGTATACGTTTTCCTCATGAGAAAGTGTTAATAGTAGAAATGTCCACCACCTTTCTTTTCTTTTGGCTTCAATTGCAAACAATTTACTGATTTACAGATCAATTGTAGGGTGTCGGTTGAAAAGTCTTTCCCCTGCTAGTTGTTCTAGCATGAAGTCTAATAATTGTTAACATTTTTAAAATGAACCAACATTAGTTTTCCAGTGTTGTTAGGATATTTTTATGTTATATTTCATTTAAATCAACTCTGTTCTTTCAATGCTATACAAAATATTTAGCTACATTTTATCAGAACTTATTTGGTTAATTTATCTACAGGTGTTGGATCCTGAACAGAATCATAGTTTCACTGACCACTACTTAAATGTCTCCTTTGACCTGTCCCAAGTGCTTTTCATAGCTACAGCCAACACTACTGCTACCATTCCTCCAGCCTTACTCGATAGGATGGAACTCATCCAAGTGCCAGGTAAACACACCCTAAAGTATTTCATGTTTGAACCCAGAATTGAAAACTTTTGAAAAAAAAAAAATTTATGTACCAAATTCCTTAACATTTAAGTAAAGTTATACTTTGGGAGATTTGTTTACAGAATGACAGTTTCTACAAAGCAGTACTAGGGCACAGCAGAATTTCAAAGATTTCCTGTGGTCCTTGGATAGCTGGAACTTAATTTTAAAGAGGAATCTTACTAAGAATTTGACTGTGCTATGAACTCTCTTTTCAGAGGTCTGTATCCATGCTGTCAACTGGGGAGAGTGCAAGGATTTAAAAGTTAGAACCCAATGCCTGTCGTTTGAATTCATTAAAATAAATAGATGGAAAATTGTAGACTGTTCTTATTATTTCTCATCATAATGCATAAAACTGCCCTGTAGACTTAACTGACGTTCAGAAGCTGATGGGTGGAGATGATCTGCTTTCTTAGTGTCCATATGTTTTTAGCTTTATATTCCAAGGCTTGAGGAAGATGCAAGAGTAAATAAATGCCTTTCTATCTAATCTTTCCCTGCACCTGCACTTCCAGTCCTGACTATAAACTAACTGCTTCCTAAATCCCCTTTGCACCCTTTCTAGTGCAGTTACATCTTTTTTATAATGAGATGACTTGAACTGCACTCCGTAGTTGAATTGCAGTCTAAATAGTGATGTAAACAGTTCCAAAATAACCTTTCTGCTCTTAACCACCTTTGAAATCGACCTATCCTACTATGTTGAGAGATCTATGGCCATTCACTCTGAAATCCCTCACTTCCTTTCACACCTCTCTGTACTTTCCCATTAATTGTGTACTCCTTTGACTTGTTCAACTTCCCCAAATGCACCACTTCATGGGTTGAATTCAATTTTGCCACTTTTTTGCCCACCTAATCAGTCATCCTCCTTCATGATCCTACATTAACAAAGAAATTGATAATATTTTTTGTTTTTGATTTTTAACTAGTCTGCCATGTAGAACTTAGTAGCCTTTGTGGGTTTTAATAAGACTTTTGACAATGACAACCGCACTGCCCTTATCAGTTCTCCTTGTTACTTCCTCAAACAATTCAGTCATATATCAGAGATATATAGCATAGAAACAGTTCCTTCGGTCCAACTCGTCTGTGCCAACCAGGTATCCTAGTCTGATTTGCCAGTATTTGGCTTATATCCCTCTAAACCGTTCCTATTCATGTACCATCCAGAGGTCTTTTAAACATTGTGATTATACCTGCCTCCACCACTTGCTCTGGCAGCTTGTTCCATACATGCACCACTGTGTGAAAAGGTCGCCTCTCAGGTCCCTTTTAAATCTTTCCCCCTCACCTTAAACCTATGCCCTCTAGTTTTGGATTCCCCTACCCTGGGAAAAAGGCCTTGGGTGTTCATCCTATCCGTGCCCCTCATGATTTTATAAATATCTATAAGGTCACCCTCAGCCTCAGATGCGTGAGGGGAAAACACCCAACCTATTCAGCCTCTCTCTATAGCTGAAAAACCCCAATCCTGGCAACATCCTCGTTAGTCTTTTTGAACCCTTTCAAAGTTAACATCTTTCCGATAACGGGGAGACCAAAGTTGAATGCGGTGTTTCTAAAAGTGGCCTAACAGTGTCCTGTACAGCCACAAGATGAATTCCTAACTCCTATACTCAAATGCACTGATCAATGAAGCAAGCGTATCAAACATATCATCTCCACCCTGTCTACCTGTGACTCCACTTTCAAGGAATTATGCACCTGGCTCCTTTGTTCAGCAACAGTACCCAGGGCCCTACCATTAACTGTACAAGTCTTGCCCTAATTTACCTTACCAAATGCAGCACCTCACATTTATCTAAATTAAACTCCATCTACCACTCCTCAGCCCCCTGGCCTGTCTGATCAAGGTCCCACTGTACGGAGGTAATTTTCTTCATTGTCATCTGCAAACTAACCATACCTTCTTTATTCACACCTAGATCATTTATGTAAATGTTAAAAGCAGTGGAGCCAGCACCAATCCTTGTGGCACACCACTGGTCACAGGCCTCCAGTCTGAAAAATAACCCTTCACCACTACTCTGCCTCCTATCTCCAAGCCAATTTTGTATCCAACGGTCTACCTCCCTCGGATTCCATTTGATCTAAATCTTGCTAACCAGTCTACCCTGCAGAACCTTGAACACCTTGCTGAAGTCCATATAGACAGTGTCTACTGCTCTGCCTTCATCATTCATCTTTGTCACTTATTGAAATAACTCAAGTTAGTGAGACACAATTTCCCATGCATAAAGCCATGTTGACTCTCCCTAAATCAATTTCCCTTGCCTTTCCGAATGCATGTAAATCCTTTTCCTAAGAATCCCCTCCAATAACGTACCCACCAATCAGATTCACTGGTCTATTATTCCATGGCTTTTCCTTAACACCCTTCTTAAATGATGGCACCACTGTAGCAAACCTCCAGTCTTCCAGCATCTTGCCTATGGCTATTAATGATACAAATATCTGCGCAAGGAATCCAGCAATCTCTTCCCTAGCTTCCCACAAAGTTCTTGGAAAAACCTGATTGGGTCCCAGGGATTGAAAATGCTGTATCTAGGAAACTTTGTACCTAAAATGGCACCGTAAGTGGCAACTTGTATACTTTTCATTGTACTCAAATGAGTACATGACAATAAAGCGGATTCTAATACTAATGCTGTAATATGGACACTTCAAAATATCACTGTTTTTTTCCCCAAGTTCTCTAGCTTCCATATCCTTCTCCACAGTAAATACTGATGCGAAATATTTGTTTAGTATCTCGCCCACCTTGTGTGGTTCCACATATGGATGGCCTTGTTGCTCTTTAGCAGGACCTATTCACTCCCTAGTTACTATTTTTACCTTAATGTATTTTGTAGAATCTCTTTGGATTCTTGTTAACCCTATTTGCCAAAGATATCTTATGTCCACTTTTTACACTCCTGATTTTCGTCTTCATGTTCTTACTGCTCTTTTCCTTTAGGGATTCCCAGCTGTCTGTACCTGGCTTATGTCTCCTGCTTTTTCTTGATCAGAGCCTCAATTTCTCTAGTCATTCAACGTTCCCTACGCCTACCAGCCTTGCCCTTTACACTAACCGGAACATATGGTCTCTGAATTCTTGTTCTCTCATTTTAAAGGCCTCCCACTTTCCAACCATCCCTTTACCTGTGAATAGACTCTCCTAATAATCAACTTTTCAAAGTTCTTGCCTAATACTATCCAAATTGGCCTTACTGCAGTTTAGAACTTTCACTTTTAGATCAGGTCAATCCTTTTCCATAACTATTTTAGAACTAATAGAATTACTATGACTGGCCCCAAAGAGCTCCCCCACTGACACTCAGTCACTTGTCTGCCTTATTTCCCCAGGAGAAGGAAAAGTTTTGCTCCTTCTGTAGGAGGTACATCTGCATACTGAATAAGAAAATTCTTTTGTACATGCTTAACATAATGGTAGTCCCAGTCTATGTTTAGAAAGTTAAAAATTGGCTACCATTGCAACCCTATTACTTTTACAGATATGAGATCTCCTTATGTATTTGCTTCTCAATTTCCCGCTGACTATGGGTCGCCTATAGTAGAATCCCAATAGGTGGTAATTCCTTTCCCAGTGGTCAGTTCCACCCATATAACGTCAATAGATGTTTGCTCAGGAGTATATTCCCTAAATAAAGCTGTAATATTATCCTAAACCAAAAACACCACTTCCCCCTCTTTCTATCTTTCCTATAGCATCTATGCCCTAGAACATTAAAACTGTCAATCCTGTCCCTCCTTGAGCCATTTCTGTCACAGCTATGATATCACTGTCCCATATTCCCAAATGTGCCTAGAGTTCATCTGCCTTACCTATCAGGCCTCTTGCATGGAAATAATTGTAGTTTATTAGTCTTGCTGCCTTGCTCTTTCATGCCTTGACTTTTTAAACTTGCTCCTCTTCTCTACTGTACCAGCCTCAGATTTCTCTTTGGGTTCCCCCCTGCCGCCGCCACCGTCTTTAGTAGTTTAAAACCTCCCGAAGTAGCACGAGCAAATCTCCCTGCCAGGATATTGGTCCCCTTCCAGTTCAGGTTGAAATAACTGCACAGTACATTGGCTGTGGCCAGCCAACTCTGAGTCAGTCCCCTGAACTCAGGAGATTCTAAATCTCCTGTTAATATTGGTCAGCCGGGGCTTTCCTGATTTGGGTTGTTAACCTGGGCCAATCAAGGATCTCAGTCAACAAGATTCATCTGGTTCTGATCACTACATCCCTCCCCTCCTAAGTCCAGAGATGTAGGCCTGGCATTTCTCTTGTAGTTTTCCCTGCGGCGTTTTCACCCCAGATCTGGTTCCTCTCACTCAGACTCTGACAGTGGCGGTGTGTACTGGACCGTAGCTCGTCTTTGGTGTCCGGAGCATTTTGGGAGAGCTTCCGCCTCTTCTCCTGTTGGTAACGGTATATGGACTGCATCCATCCATGGGGCAGCATGGTGGCTCACAGTGCAAGGGAACTGGGTTTGATTTCACCCTCTGGCAACAGTATGGAGTTTGCATGTTCACCCCATGTCTGCGTGGATTTCCTCCCACAGTCCAAAGATGTGCAGGTTAGGTGGATTGGCCACACTAAATTGTCCATACTGTCCAGGGATGTGCAAGCTAGGTGGATTAGCCATGGGCAATACAGGGATAGGGTGGTGGGGGGTTTGGGGTTGGGTCTGGGTGGAATGCTCTTCAGAGGGTCCGTGTGGACTTCATGGGCTGAATGACCTGCTTCCACACTGGGGATTTTATGACAACATAATCATCACAGACTCCAAAGTTCCCCTGACACTAGACAGAGGTGGGGTGGGGGGGTGGTGAACCTACGGTTTCTGATGGGCCTTCTGGCTGTTATGGAGGGGCAAGGTATGTTTTGCTCCTGCCCCATTTGTGAGGCAACAGCTTTAAAAAGGTGATACAAGTTTGTTCAGGACCACCTCCTCTACTCAGACTTTA